CTTCCATACTGCATTTATCAGAAGACCCAAGAATCCGCCAATCCCGTGCTTTCGCGCTACCTGAGGGGAAAGCCGCTGATCGAGCCCAGCGTGCCCGCCGCCGCCTCCCGCGCAGCACCGCCGCTGCGGAATCGGATCGATCCCATGGAGGAGGAGGGCGCAGTCGGCCAGCGCAGCAGGCGGAGTCCCTCCCCGCGCCGGAGCCCCCCTGCAGTCGAGGGAGTCCTCGTTGGCGATGAAGGTGGCGACATCGAATCGCGGCCGACACACGTCACGGGAGGAATGGGCGATGAGCGGAACGATGCGCGCTACGACGCCGACTCCGCCGTGCTCGTGGCCGCAGAAAGCCGCGCTCCAGGAGCACGCCAAGATGCAATGGCTCGCTTGCTTCGATTCAGCTCTCTCGGCAGCAGAAGCGGGGCTGGAGCGGGTGGGGGTGGATGCCGATTGAGGGGGAGCGTCTCCAGCTGCGCCCTGTGGCAGCTGCGCCCTGTGGCAGCTAGTCGAGGGACTTGGTAGTTGTGACCCCCCTGAGTGAGGACAGGAGAGAGAGAGCGTTTTGTGGTGTTTGTTGGTGTACGCAATAACGGGACAGGGTGTCAGGGTGGTTGTTCTCTCTATCTCCTCTTCTAGCTCTTAGCATGAGCTGCGCCCGGTGTCCGACCCCTTTTGCGCAGCAACACCTTAAACTTTTAGGCCCTCCAAATTCGGGTCGGAGCGTAGCGGAGTGGGCCCCGAGTTTGAAAAGGGCGACGGACGCTTGCGTCCTAGCCTCCAACAACGCCTCCCCGGCGCAGAGGGGCCCCCGGAGGGATGCACAACCGCTCCACGCCACGCCGCTTGCGGCGGTCCTCTTCCCAGCTCCGCTGAGGGGCCGTGCGTTATTTTTTCCTTTTCTGCCACCACTGTAAAAAAAATGCCTTATTTTCCAATCGCAGCAGGAGTGCCCGGCTTCGGGCTGAGTCGAACACCCCCTGCCGCTGAGTTGAACCTCGAACACCCGACTTGTATGGGCTGCAGCAGCAGCAGCAGCAAAAGCGGCGCGACGCCACCCGACGTCAATGCCTACGGCGAGGATATGGACGCCTCTATGCACGAGTACGACATGGCGCGCCGCACTGAGAGTTCCGCATGCACTTCGGCCCTCGCCCGGACCTGAGAGAGAGCGCAGCCGGGACTGAGAGACCGGCGCTCGCCCGGAGCTGCGAGAGAGGGCGGTTCTCACGGACCCGTGGCGTGCCGCCTGTGTCAGGACTCGTCCGTGCACGCCGACCCGCTCGGGTCCATCCCGGAGGACCACGATTTCGACTTGTGCGAGCTCCTCCTCGGAAGGATGAGCCTCGTGTTTGAGGACCTGAACGCGGGCGGCAGCGGCTGGATCGCGGCGTCGGCGCTCGAGGCCCGGCTGAGGGACGACACCGAGCTGCACGGCATCGTCTCCACCGCCGACGGCGGAGCTGAGGCCGTCTCCTCCTTCCTGCAGTCGCTGCTCCACGAACCGGCGCGGCAGATCTCGCTCGCGGGGCTGAACGAGGAGCTGCAGCACCTGCTCCAGCCGTGCGCGGGGGTGGGCGCCGACGCGGCGGAGGCGGGCGGCTGAGGCGAGCAGGCAGCGGGCCCCGCGGGCACGGCTGCAGAGCCAGAGGGAGAGGCTGCGGCAGGAGGAGGACGCGCCGCGTGTACCCTGTCTCTACAGGAGTGTTGAGGTGCGTGTAGGTCAGGGGCGAGCGAGGTGGAGATAGTGGGGGGGAGAGAAAGTGTGTGCCGAGAAGGCGTTTCAGGGGACTCATGGCATGCGCGTGTGTGTTAGGTCTGTGATTGGGGGTTGACGCGTACATATGAGCGATACCGGTAATGCCGTATAAGGTGGCAGTGCACGGGAGGTAACACTCTCTACTGATTCTCTACTCAAAATGGCAGACTGAGATTTCGAACGGTGACGGTATACACAAAAACACTGAAATGGAAAATCGGTTCAACACTATCTGCTTTTTTTTCGAGGCGCGTTCTTTATCATCGGGGCGCGCGCTTGTTGCAGCAGCCAAACCGCTCGATCGGCACTCGCCCGGCGGGCGTCGAGAAGCAGCAGCTCCAGCCCCACGCCTCGGCGCACTGGGCGCAGCCAATCGGGTCGTCCGGGTCGGTGAAGTTGTCGTATGCGTCGGCGGTGGCGGTGGCCATCAGAGGCGTGATCACCTGAGGTGGGGTGAGGTTAGGTCGGTTCGTGAGGCGAACTTCTCCACACACACAAGGTGGTGGGGCAAGGGCCAGGGCAACCAACGAGCCTCCGCAGCATGAAGAAGTGCAAGGCCCAGTGCGTGCGCACGTGTGCGCGCATGTGTGTGTGTATGTGTATGTGTATGTGTATGTGTGTGTGTGTGGTGTGTGTGTGTGTGTGTGTGTGTGTGTGTGTGTGTGTGTGTGTGTGTGTGTGTGTGTGTGTGTGTGTGTGTGTGTGTGTGTGTGTGTGTGTGTGTGTGTGTGTGTGTGTGTGTGTGTGTGTGTGTGTGTGTGTGTGTGTGTGTGTGTGTGTGTGTTGGTGTGGTGTGGTGTGGTGGTGTGTGTGTGTGTGTGTGTGTGTGTGTGTGTGTGTGTGTGTGCGTGTGTGTGTGTGTGTGTGTGTGTGCGTGCGTGCGTGCGTGCGTGCGTGCGTGCGTGCGTGCGTGATCGCCTTGTGCATGTTGACGACGTGCGCGTCGGGGATGCCCGGCCGCTTCGGCGGGAACCAGTTGAACCAGTACTTGTTGTGCCGCCAGGGGGAGAGGGCGACGTACGTGACAGGCAACTGCTGCAGGATCGCGTTGTGGAATATGAGGTACCTAGAAGGTTCCTAGACGGTTCCTAGACGGTTCCTAGAAGGTACAGCGTTGTGGAAGATGAGGTACCTGAGTCCATTGACCGGTGCAACCTCTCAAGTAGTGGAGAAGCAACTGGATCGCGTTGCTGGAGACGAGGCACCTGACTCCATTGACCAGTCCTCCTTACTGCATACACAAGTCACTGAGCGCGTTGCTGGAGGCGAGCCACACCCCGTGGCCGCGTCCTCATGCGTCCAGAACGGAGGCCGCTGCTTAGCGCGCAGCGTGGCGCTGAAGTTCTTGGCGAGCGGCGAGGCGGCGAAGGCGCGCACCAAGTCCGACGAGAGGACCTAGGTTGATAGTGAGGATGGACCGTAATTCATTACGACAGCACCGAGTCCGATGTGAGGAGGACTCTCGGCGGATCTCGGCGGGTCTCGGCGAGTCTGGGCGGATCTCGGCGGATCTCGGCGACTCGAGAGGGCCTGAAGCGAGCCGTCCGCGAACGGGAACGGGCCGAGCGCGCCGGTGCACTCCCCAGGGTTGCCCCCTCTCTCCGGCGCGACGCTGCCGCTGCCGCCGACCTGCGCCAGCAGCGACTGCAGCGTGGGCCCGGCGCCGCCAGGAGTCGGGCCGTCGTCGCCGCGCGCGCCGCACACGCCGTCGGGCACCGGGGAGAGGGGGCGCCACGCGCGCCACGTCATCACGCCTGTTGACTCCTCACCTCGTGGTCAGTGTCACTCATGAAGCGGCACGCGCGCCACGCGCTTCACACACCGTAGTAGTAGTGCGAGCGCCGCATAGCCTCCATCCGCGCCAGGTCGGCCTCGATGCGGCGCAGCGAAGGGAGCGAGTCGTCGTCCCACTTGGCCACCCAGTCCGCCTCCCACCCCGCCTCCCCGCGCCGCGCGACGGCGCGCTCCCACCAGGAGATCGACTTTTCGGCGACAGCGTGCGGCAGGTAGTCGCGCGCCGGGACGGTGAGAAGGTCGCCGTGATTCCGCATCTCCTCCTTCAGCGCCGCGGCGTCGGCCGCAGCAACGCCTCGCCGCCGCGACCCGAGGACGAAGATCACGCGCACGCCCCGGCAGCGCGCCTCGGAGATGCGCAGCTTCTGGCGGATCCAGACGCGGCGGTCGCGGTTCAAAGGCGCCGTGATGATGCCAACCAGGAGCCGCAGCCGCGCCGGCGGCGAGCACACACTGCTCGGCGCCGCGATCAGGCGCGAGGAGTGCGGTCGCGGCCGTATGCCGGCCAGGTCCCGGAGCGCCGCCAGTGGCTGCTGCGAGCATCGAGGCGGCGCGCATAGCCAGTACAGGCCACCAGAGAAGAAGAAGAGCGCCGCACAGACGGCAACGCGCGAGCAGCGGTCGGTCGCCATGCCAATGTCAACGTCTGAGCAGTCAGTCTACAGCACACACACATCGCCTTGCACGACCTGAGGGCTTTGGATCATTCAGTGAACACCGCCCTCCTCAGGGTTCCGGCTCCTGCCAGGTAGGGGGTCTGGTGGCGAGGCTGTACAGAATGCCGAGAGCATACTGAGCAGGCTGCCGTCGAGCGACGAGCCATGCTGGCTCGTCGCAGGCGATGAGATCGAGGAGCCGATCGGAGCGTCGCAGAGGCTGCCGACCACTGTCGTTCGCCCTCGGGCCCAGGGGTGGAAGGCAAGCTTCCTGGCGTTTCTGGCGAGCGTCCAGACGTCGCAGAGCATCCGGCAGGCGCGCAGCGACCCAAATTTTTGCTCACCGCACGGCCGTGCGAGCCGTCGGTCGGTGGTGATGGTCGGCGTCGGCGCGCGCCGACCGACGCGGCGGCGGTGGGCGTCATGTGGCGCGTTTTGGGACCAGACATTGTCCGAATTGCGGCGGACGTCCCTCGAGGTCGTGATATGTGAATAGTGAAAGTGCCGTATATTCGGCACAGAGATTTCTCGACGCGTTTGGAGAGACGAGAGTGGGTGTTTTCTTTCTTTTAGTCGTGCCACCTCTCCCGACTTCCCTGGTGAAGGTCGCCGTGCCCGAGACCCAGCCCGCGGCGAGCGTCGGGGACGCGGGGAGAAACGCCCGCTTCTTCACACCCCCACTTGCCGCACTAGACACCCTGCGAGAGCTCGGGGGGCCGCCGGCGGAGGCGGCGGGGCGCGCGGGCCGCCGGTGGCTCTAGAGACCGCCACTTTTGGAGGAGGGGCCGCCGTGGGGCTCACTCGACGCGCGCGCGCTTCGAGACGACGCGCAGCGGCGGCACCGCCGCCGCAGGGTCGCCGTTGAGCGGCTCGAGCACCGCCTGGGGCCGAGAGGGTGGAGATGGAGGCGGGTGTCGGCAACCCGCACCGAGGATAGGGTTCGGCGGCGGCGGCCGGACCGAGAGGGGGGGGGGGGGGGGGGGCTTTCCCCTTTTTGCGGCCCGGGGGGCCCCCAACCACCCCCAAATCCTGCACGGCCAAAGGGGCCCCCGGGGGCGCCCCGGGGGCCCCAAACCC